TTAGTAACAACAACAAGAAGTCACATTTTGTATTACACTTGTGTGGCGACTTTCACATCGGAGGGACAACCAAAGGCAAAATTTATATTACCACTCATCCCAGCTTCCTATCAAATAGTTGTATGGCTTGCTGTTGTGCGATCCTTGATCTTTGTACAAATTGCCAAAATGAGACCACAGAACTAAGAACCTCTTACATCCAGCATTTCCTGGATTACATGGATTTCGAGTATTTTTGAGTCAGCATTGCTGCACAGTCCAAACCTTCAATACAGAGGAAATGTATGGTAGTGAGGCCATGCAATATGCTTTCCACCTTTCATTGTAACCTGTGAAATTGGACCAACAGTTTAACCAACTCATCACACATCTACAAGTACAACAGCTTGCATTCACATAGCTCCCTTCATGTAGGGTAGTATCTAGGAGCGCTTAACAATTGCGTGGGTGAATACCAAGTCAGGGAGAAAGGGGAGGTAACAAAAATACAGTCACTGAGCACTTGGCCAGCCAAGTTCCTTTCTTTCACATATTATACACAAGCCATTCTGCCATGCACTCAACTCAAGCACCTTTTTTGAAAATATATATTTATTTATAAATATATTTGGTACAACAAAAATCCAAAACAAACAAAACATTACATTTTTCCCTTTCTCACAATACAAAAACATTCCATTGTTTACGTTACATTTCTTTACCACACACAGGTTGTGCACACATTTTTGAGGTGCTCCCTTTACAGCAGTCGCCCCTGTGTGCACTATGCTGTCACTTATTTTTTGAAAATGTATATTGATCTCTGGGGAAAGGTTCTGCAACATTTCTCCCTCTATCACTGCCCCAAATTAAACTGAAGTAACACTCCGGTATGGCCATCTAACTTTACATTCTGCATTATTTATCCTTAACCAGTTGCTCTCCTTGGTAGGATATTTGAATGATCCCATCAGCTCAAGATCTAAACATTTCATAAAGAAAGTAATTTCCGCTAACCCTCTGCGATTGACAATTCTTTTAAATGTGGAGTCCTATGCCTTAGTGGTTAGAGCACTCGTCTCATAAACAAAAGGACCTGGGTTCAATTCCCGGCAGGGCGAATTGTTGGGCAAGTTTAATAATAATAATAATAATCCTTGCATTTGATATAGCGCTTTTCACGTCGGGAGGACGTCCCAAAGCGCTTCACAGAACACACTGTAAAGTGAATTGACTGTATATTTGTAGGCGAACGCGGCAGCCAATTGCGCACAGCAATGTCCCACAAACAGTCGTAGATTGAAAATGACCAATTTATTATTGTTTTGGGTTTTGGAGGGATTATTATTAGGCGTGTGGAGTAAGGAAACTTGCCCAAGGTTTCGCCCTGCCTGGAATTGAACTCAGGTCTCTCGCTTGCAAAGCGAGTGCTCTAACCACTGAGCTACAGGACTCCACGTCCTTATTCCACACACCCCTGTTTATCTAGCAGTAAGTAGGAACCCGGTTGTTAGCGGATTGCTTTTCTGGGGGTAATAATCCCTTAAAAAGAATAATAACAATAATAATTTGGTCACTCAATCCATGACTGTTTGTGGGACACTGTTGCGTGTAATTGGCTGCCGTGTTTTGTCCACAAAATATACAGTCAATTCACAAGCTTTGAGACTCTAGAAGACGTGATAAGGCACTATATCAAATGCAAGGATTATTATTATTATTGAAGAAATACTTTCAATTGGACAGTCTTAATCACAGTACAGAATCATAGAGATTTATAGCACAGAGGAGGCCATTAAGCCCATTGTGTCTGCACCAGCTCTCAGAGCAAGCTTTAATTTCAATCTCACTGCACGGCCCTATTCCCATACCCCTTCAAGTCTCCATCTTTCAAATACCTGTATACTTCCCTCTTGAAACCCACAATTAACTTTGCCTCTACCACCTTACCTGGCAGGGCATTATCCCAACAACTCTCTTTCTATGAAGTTACTAATGTAGAGGTATTTAACATAACATTTCCTGAATATGGAAAACAAAATCACAAAATAAATAAACAATCTAAGAAAAAGAAAGATACATTTTTCACATTAACATTTCCTTGTTTTTTATTTTAATGCTTTTTCCCTGTTGATCCCAACCCTCCGCTTGGGTTCAAATCCCTGACTGTCTAGCACCTCGGGACTCCTCCCGACATGTAAGGTGCTATATATACAAATGTAAGTTGTTGTTGTTGCAAGGGGTAGAATATTCTTAAGCAGAGGGGTTAAATAATTAAAAGTAAGGTGAGATATCTAAATTCTTTGGTGTTAAATTATTTAGGATTAACAAAGATATGGCCTTGATCTTACAGGAGACTTTTATGGTTGCATAATAATGAGTTATGTTTAGGTCAAAATTAATCAAATTAGATATAACATATACATAATTAAAATAACTGGCTTGAAATAGTTCCACATCACATGACTGTATTCTGGTCATTTTAAGTTATACCAATCATTTAAGAGCATTATCTCATGCAGTCTGTTTTGTTTCCTCAAATTACAGAAAGCTGGAAAACACAGCACTTTCTTAGATTTCATCCAGCCCGTGCCCTTTCCACACCAGATGCCGTGAGCCCATCATCCCCATTCTCGCTCCACTCACTCCCTATCCCTCAGTGAATTAAATTCTACATCCTCGTTCAGTTCTCTCCATGGTCTTGCGATCTCCTGCAAATCTACAATCCTGGCTGCTCCCTTCGCTCAGCCTGTTTCATATCCCCGTCCGAACTACCCCACAATCTTTGGGCCAGTTTTCAACCATTCGGCCCCCCACCTCTGAAACTCCATCCTAGAGTCACTTTGCTTTGCCCCCTCCCTCTCTGCTGTTAGAGCTTGCTTTAAGACATATCTTTTTGACCGTGTGTTCGGTCACCTTTGCCCCTCCCCTACCCTCCTCAGCTCTCCCCACACTCAATACAGAGTGAGATCACATTCTGCTTGAACACGAATGCAAATTCGGTCCTATCTCATGTTTTATTGAACCAAAATTCCACAGTCTTCACAATAACGGCTGATCCTTTTTCGTGTATTGATAAATAATACAGTCCTTCATCTTAGAAGAAATGTTAATTTCCCTCGACTCTGACCCCCAGCTCGGTTACCTAGCCAGGAATGTCAAAGGCATTTTGATACATCCTCTTGACGTGAAAGGCACTATATAAATGTAAATTGTATTGTATTGTAAACATTTTCTTTTAAAAAAGAAGTAAAATTATGTCATGTGGTAAAACACCTGAGTTCTTTGGAGTCATCCGATTTCCAGCCCAGTCAAACCTGAAGTCTGTTGGCTCTGAGCCAAGGTCAATTTCTTGCTACATTGATAATGACAGTGACTTACATTAAATAATTTATTATTGCATTTTGCTAATCGAAAATATAGATGGTTTGAGGCAGAAATCAATAGCGTTAGTGACCTGGAAAAGTCAGTATATGATTGCCTTCTGAAGTTAAAAAGTGTCTGAAATACCCCTAAGCATTAAGGTTTACAATTTGAATTATATTAATATGTTCAGAAATGTATTGAAATAAATGAATATGAGCATTTTGGTTCCAAAGTCCCTTTTGTGCACTGGACATTTACAGTGTTTGTACCCAGTAGAAACAAAGAGTGAGTACATTTTGTACCCAAGTGAGAATTTTCTTCCTCCTGATGGGATACGGAAACCATGTTAGAATAGTGCACAAAATATACATAATCGCCCGCAAAATATACAATCAATTCACTTTACAGTATATCCTGGGAAAGCCCTTTGAGACTTCTCGAAGAGGTGACAAGGCACTAAATCAAACGCAAGGATTATTATTATTATTACTATTATTAAATGTGGGGATGGAAGAACTTGCATTTATTATATAGGGCCTTACATGCAGGATAGCATCTCAGAACAATAACAACAACTCGCACTTATATAGCACCCTCCACGCAGGGTAGTGTCTCAGAACGCTTCATTTGCCGAAATGAAGTGGAGATAGTTGGTTAAGTAGGACTCGAACCATGTGAGTGCGGTCTCACTAAGGTGGATGACGGAGAGGTGATGGAGGAGGATAGTGTGGTCAACTGTGTCGAACGTGGCAGAGAGATCCAGGAGGACAAGAAGGCAGAGGGAACCCTGGCCATAGATAGAGAGGACGTTGTATGTGATTTTGACAAGTGCTATCTCTGTTCTGTGGGCATGTCGAAAACCAGACTGCAAGGGCTCAAGGAGGTAGTGGAGGGAGAGGTGTGACTGAAGTTGACCTGCAACAATGCATTCCAGGACTTTGACAAGGAAGGATAGGTTGGAAATGGGATGATTGTATGATAGGTTAGAGAGATCGAGGATGGGTTTTTTGAGGAGGAGTGCGATAACAGCGGTTTTCAGGGGGAGTGGAACAGAGCCTGAGGACAGAGACTGTTTGACCCTGTCGGCCAGCAGGAGGGAAGGAGGGAGAGTTGAGTGGCCAGCAGCTGGGTGGGGAGGGGGTCAGCAGCAGGTGGTGAACTTCATGCAGGTGATTGTGGTTCAGATGAAAGAGGGAGAAATGGGGGCAAAGGAGAGTAAGGAGGGTGGAGTTGCAGGAGGCGTGGCAGAGGGAGAAGGCAGTGTGGATGGTCTGGCTGGGGTGGAAGGGGACATGGGGTGTGGGGGAGGACATTGCAACCAAGTAGATGTTTTCAATCTTTGAGGCGAAGAAGTCTAGGACCTTTTCGCACTGGTGTTTGATGTGAGGATTTGAATATGAATAATATTCAAATATTTATTAAAATTAAGAATGCAAAGCAAACGTCTTAGAAATATTTTTATTGACATGCTACAACAAATGTCAGTACAATGCGGTTTTGAGATCGATACTGTGAAACTGTGAGCAATTGCTACCGTGTTTCACCCACAAAATATACAGTCAATTCATTTAACAATATATTCCGTGAAGCGCTTTGAGATATCTCAAAGACGTGATAAGGCGCTGTATCAAATGCAAGGGATAGTATTGTTATTATTACATTGCACAGAGTTTGCAATGCTGTAATCCATTTTCGTTGCATGAGGTACATTTGAGAGATTTGAAGGAATCGGTGAAGCAGTTTCGAAACCCGGACATCTTGCTCCCATGGCACACTGAGCATGGAACAAAGGCAAATCCACCGCAAGCCAAACACTCCTGCGGGTGCTGGTCTTTCTGCAGGGAAAGACAAAAATAAGTCTTGTTCAGCAATTCCCTTTTTTCAAACAAATCTACAGTCATATCAGAGATGAACCCCAATTTGATAATCCACTGTGTCCAAACCAATACCCAAAATATTATTAAGTTGCATGAAAACGAAGTCCTTCAGGTTGCATGATGTATAAATATGATTATTAATTTGCTAAACAGTGCCTGTAATAATAGAAATATGGAGGGAGATGGTGTCAGTCTGGCTCAGTTGGTAGCACTCTTGCTTCTGAGTCATAGCTTATGGATTCAAGCCCCGCATAGGGACTTCGAGTTCCTTGTCGTCCTTTGGATGAGACATTAAACTGAGGTGCATCTGCCTATCCAAATGGACATTGAAGATCCCATGCCACTCTCTAAAAAAAGAGAAGGGAGTTTCTCTCAGGGTCCTGGCCAACAGTCCTTCAGATAAAATTGGTTATTCACAACTTAGATGTTTGTGGGACTTTGCTGAGCATATTGGCTGTGCGTTTGCCTTCAATGTATACAGTCACTATCCTATTCAGCAACTATACTCACATAGAAAAGGCATGTTGACCTAAGGATCAAGGTTCATATTAGCCCTTATATTAATTTCTAAAATGTCATGGGTTATCATGTGATAGATCTATATAACCATAGAAATTTATAATAATAATCCTTGCATTTGATATAGCGCTTATCACATCTTCAAAACGTCTCAAACCGCTTCACAATATTATACAGATATATATTATATATAGATAAAGTGAATTAATTGTATATTTTGTGGGCCAAATGTGGCAGCCAATTGCCCACAGCAGTATCCCACAAACTGTCATGGATTGAGTGACCAAATTGTTGTTATTTATTTATTTGAAGGGATTGTTAACCCAGAAAAACGATCCACCAATTGACTAATAACCAGGTTCCTACTTACTGCTAGGTAAATGGAGGCATGTGGAATAAGGAAACTTGCCCAACGTTTCGCCCTGCCCAGGAATCAAACCCAGGTCCTCTCGATTACGGGTGAGTGCTCTAACCACAAAGCTACAGGACTCCATAGAAATTCACTCAGACCAGTGTCCATACTGGTGCTTTGCAAGAGTAATCCATTCACTCCTATTTACCTGGCCTTCCTGATACCCATGCAACTTACTCCTTTTTTAAGTTATCTACCGAGTTCCCTCTTGAAATAACACTACCTCAATCAAATCCAGGAAAGTGCCGATGTAGGTAGTAGCTAAAGATTGTTCACATGGTGGAACATACTTCACGTAGTAAAAGAGGAGGAATGATAAGGCCATTATCCTGTACAATCAAGGTTAACAAATAAAAAGATGTCTCACAATACAATCTCCAAATAGAATGGCTTCTATTCTATGCAGTCCTGTACAAATACATGGTTGTTCATTTGTACCAGAATTTTTTTAAAATAATTGTTCACAGTATGCACAGTAAGATAAATAGAGTACAGAATATGCAATACATTATAGAAGGGAGTGAGCCACATGTGATGGCATATGGACTATGTATTGGTTATAAATAGATTATTAGTTAGAACTCTCAGTCTGGTTTGGATCCTCTTCAACATGATGAAGCATGACTACAGGTTTGGTCATCTTTCCCCACACCTCCCGAAACCAACCTCCAGCTCAGGTGCAAACCCTTGACTGTCCAGTGTCCAATTGTAAACGGTGCTACATAAATGCAATTTGTTGTTGATGGGTTTCCACACAAGTCAGACACCCAGTTGACCAAAAAAAGGTGTGTTTCACTACTCCATTCACTGTATAACCAGAACACCTCCCCACTGTAGTTGGTTTGCTTAAGACCACTTTGCCTGCTGCTCTCTCTGGCCAGAGTGCCTAACTATCCTCATCCTCCCCACCCACAATGGAAGAATGCATATTCATTCCCTAATGGTCCAAGATTAAAACCACAAATCCACAATTTTACCAACGGACAGACCCTCACCCCCCAAAAGAAAAAATTACCTCAACAACTTGCATTTATAAAGCACCTTTCACACAGGATAGCATCTCGGAATTCTGGATAGTTGGATGCCAAGCAAGAGAGAAGAGGGAGGCAAAGTGACTATATGGACAGTCTTCACAGGTAGGTCTTCAGTTGGCATTAAAGAGAATGAGTGGGTGACGTGGAAGGATTGAGGCAGGGAATTCCACAAATCCATAATCGTACCATAAATCTACAATTGTACCAAACTTTTGCTACAGGACGTCAACACACCAACAAGTGCTCAATCAAAACCACCTTTTACCTACTTTTCAATATCAAGGCATTAAAGCACGTCATTTTCTGGGACAAAATAATTTACAGTAACAAGGATGGAAAACAAACATTTCCACTTTTTCTATGCCCATGCACAAATTAAAACTTTCATTGCCACTCATCTCCTAACAGCTTAGTGAAATAATTAGCTCTTATTTCTTATCTCATTAAATGAGCAGTCACTCATATCTCAGTATATCTGTGTGGTATTTACATTAATCCTTTAAATACTGTTTTACAGTTTGCAGCATCTCTTAGGGAATGCAATCTACAGATTACATATTTCTAATGAAAAATCTGCAACCAGGATGGAGGCAAAATATTTATGTTGTTGTTCCATTGCTGTATCCACCTTGTCCGAAAACTGGGTTAATACATTTACCGTTCACACTGAATTCTGCCCTTCCTCACTGCATGCACACCTCCACTTTATCCACACTTCCTGGTTGCACCCCCACCCCACACTTCTCCACTGTGTGTCATTCAGTCAGCTCATTGGTGTGCTAGAAGCATGAATTCTCAGCCTGTAAATGCTAAACTTTCACCTGTGCGTCAGAAGGCTGTGGCCTTAAGTCCCTGTTTGGTCTTTGAGCTCATACGTTGTTGACACTCCAGTGCAGTGCTGGGGAAGTGCGGCATTGTCAGAGTTGCTGTCCTTTGGATGAGATTTTAAATGGGAGATCCCTTCTGTTTGTTCAGATAGATGTTAAAGATCTCATGGTACTGTTTGAAAAGACAAGTTAATTTCTCCCGGTATCCTAGCCATAGGCAGTGGGTGAAAAATTCTTGGGGGGAGAGGAGCTAAGTACAACTCAGTTAAAGGGTTGGTAAGAGATAGGAAAGGGGTTAGAGGGGACCTTTGGGTGCCGCAGGTTGGGGATGCTCAGCGGACTGGCTGTGGTCCTCCTTACGGCTCAGGGATTCTCTCTTGAAGCTCCTCTTAAAGAGGTGACTGTAAATAGATTGAAGGGTGTGAGCCACTCAAGCCCCAGCCACCCACTGCCTATGGTCCTGGCCAACAATCTCTGAAATATAAATAGTCACTTGAGATATAAATAGATATAAATAGTCACAAACATGGCTGTTTGTGGGCATTGCTGTAAACAAATTTGCTACTGCATTCACCTACAAAAGTAGACACTGCACTCTACAGTATGTCCTGTGAAGCACTTTGAATCATCCTGTTGACATGAAATATCCTATATCAAATGTAAGTTTTTTGGGAATTGCTCAGGAAATACATTTTCGCATGGATGCATGTACAGTTCTGCAAATGCGATTTAACATTCTTTTTACGTTTTTGCTTTGCGGTATACATCCTTTTTTTGTGTGGCTTTCGTACAAATTATGGTCACAAAGGACTTCAGGTTACACACTACCACCAAGCAGCAAAACCAAGGAGCAACATTGAACATGTACATCATAGATTAAAACATTGATTTGATTTAATCCATTGATTTAATTCCATTAAATCTTTCAGCTGTTCAATCTGAGACAAGCTTAAACACGATTTCTCAACATTCCATCCCTCTTCACTAAACTAACATTTTCTGCAAAATTGTAATCTGTAAAGTTGCATCCAAGAGGACAAAGGCTCAGTACTCCAAAGGTCAAAAGAATATTTCCAGTGTGGTAAATCAGGCCACAAAATTTAAAAGATCAATTTAAATTACGTTGGATTTTTGGAATCATTCAACCTGGATGCATTTAAGTAATCTTCAGAATACATCAGTTAACTAATTAGATCAGCTACTCTGTTAAATCTTTTGCCAAGGAACAGCAGATCAATTTTAATGAATTTGAACTTTCTCTAAATCTAAGGCATGCTTGTTTGGTCTTAAAGATATATTTACCTCAATCTTTGTTAAGAGATCCTGCAGCTCCCCTGATTCATTCATTGCCAATATTGTCTCTGCACCCTGTTAGCAAATAAATGCACAATAGGACTAAGAGAATTTTCAAATCAATCCCTGAAGTTAAGGAGCATTTCACATTTATTTTAAAATAAAACTTTTTTTCTCTTGTACACACCAATTCACTAAAAATTGCCAAAAAAATAGCATTAATTATTGAGAAGACATGAAAAATGTTCTGAGCATACATTACATAACTTGGTTCCTGTGCTGTATTTCCTCAGTTATCTCGCCAGGATTTTTAGGCTTTATTCAAATCTTTAGGTAGTTGCTTTACACAGATGAAAGCTGCATTCAGAGGGTGATAGGCTAGCTAACCCCTGTATTGTAAACTGGGAACTTACAGTCATGATTATCAAATTGGAATAATAAGATCTCAGAAGAACAGCTTTACAGCTGAATATAATCAGCATAAACCATTTCTATTTTGTGGTTCTGTGCATAATATTATGATGTAACGTATTTTAACTCCTTGAATATAAGCACATCTATGGAAACTCCAGCTGTAAAACCCTAAAAAAATGACTTGCCCCCTTATTTTACGGCTCTTTGTGGTACATTGCTGTCCACAAATTGGCTACCACATTCACCCACAAGATGCACACTCACTGCACTTTACAGCATATCCTGTGAAGTACTTTGATGGATCCTGGGCAAGTTTCCTCACTCCACACGCCTGATAATAATCCCTCAAGAAAAAAAAACAATAATAATTTGGTCACTTCAATCCACCACTGTTTGTGGGATACTGCTGTGCGCATTTGGCTGCCGCGTTTCACCCACAAAAATGCAGTCAATTCACTTTACAGTATATTGTGTGAAGCACTTTGAGACTTCAAAGACTTGAAAAACGCTATATCAAATTCAAGGATTATTATTATTATCCTTATGACGTCAAAGGCGCTATAATACATGTAGAGATTAATATTATTTATTATGTTTGGCATCAAACCAGTGTGGTTTTCCCATGTATTGTATTGTGATTCTTAATTGAGGGTCATTGATTCGATTCTGAACTTCACTTCAGGATGTGATTTTGAAATAGATTCAAAGCATTTCTCCTTTTCAAGCATCTAATGCTCTTAAAAGAAGCATTTCCATTAGTTTAATAGATCTTACCAGATATTTTAATACCAATGACCTACTCTCCACTTAATATCATGCCACTAATACTTAGCGCCGTATAATGATAATAATAATATCAATTAATACCTCTACTACCTCAGTATCTGTCTATCTTTGAAACATCCATATTGATTCAGCCTCTTCAGCTTTTTGGGGAAGATCATTCGACAACACCACAACTTGCATTTATTTAGCACTTTTCTTTCAAAGGGCATACCACATCTTCAAAACATTTGGTTCTGAATGTAAGGCTATGCCCATTGTCTAATCTGTCAATTCCTTTCATTATTTTATACACCTCAATAAAATCAGCCCTTAACCTCCTCTCCTCTAAGGAACATAAACCATTGTCTATCATGCTTTTAATAACTCATCAATAACTTCCTTCAGCCCAGGTAATAATGTAGTGATCAGTCACTAGGCACTGTTATATACTTTACCTGTGCTCTCCTTTTTTAATGGCGCATATTTAATTTCACAAGATTGGTTTGGATGAATAAGGCCCATCTGAACTCATCCCTCCATTATACCCACCTTCCCATCAGAGCATCAAGATGCTTTTTAAATGAGTCCACTGGCCTCAACCATCCTTCGTAGTAATCTGTTCTAGTCTCTAATTAATGCTTAATCAATGCTGAGACTACACATCATAAGTGCATCTCCCACATCTCTGATTTACTCTGATGCTGACCCACCATTTGATGAAGTACCACCGATCTGGACCGGAAATGTCTGGTCCACATTTTGCTCTAAAGATTAGCAAGTCACAGGGACAAGACAATGAGTATTACTCTGTTTCGTGAACAGCGTGTAATTATAAAGTTTATGGGCATGTCTTGGATATTTGATTGCTAATAGAGTACCTTCATGTCGCTGGGTAGGCACAAATGTAACCAAAATGGAGTCTAACATGGCATTAATGAAATACTTGAGCAATTTTCTTCCTTTTGCATCACCATTACCACCATGACTTAATTCAGTTACTATGTTTACATCTATTCATACCTATAAAATTATATCATAGTTATGTTATGCTGTTTATCTATTTCTGTCCTCTGATATGTAAGCAATTGTAAACATTGTCCAGGAGATTTTATTTTCATTTTTGCCATGAGTAACCTCATGGGAGATTAACTAGAACCCACAAAAAATACAGAACCAGAAAGAGTAATAAAAAATATCAGGTGAAATTTGTGGTGTTTCATGATACGTTCAATGTGATAATTATAATCCAGCAATTATTAATGTCAATTTATAATTGTGAAATTTCTTATTCCTAGCAATAATTTATGTCAAACATTATAAAATGTTAATGATAATTATAATATTTGTAATGGTTTGATTTTTAAAGAACACTTATTCATGGAACTTCCTCTTTAGTTATGGAAGAACTTCTGGGCATGCAACTTTAATGCAATAAATAAATGAAAGGCACAAGTAAAATATGATATATCTATACTAATAAAAACGAAATGTCTGTCTATCTGTGTAGTTGTCTGTCCACCAAGAACTCAATAACCGATTGACGTAGAGACATGATTTATACCTCATCGGAAAGGTCTTGCATGGGGGAGTGTCATTGGCATATTTTTTTGGGGGAGGAATCGCCTATCGTTGATAAACCATGACCTAAACACGTTTATCACATATGTACGGCAGTTTTGCGTTTTGCGCTGCAGTTACACCTGGTGGCCTCTCCGACTCCTAGTGGCGCTGAGGCATTGTGCACATACATGCATGCATGTACGTACATACGCAGCATGCACTCAGATGAAGCCAAGCGGTGGGAACAAGATGACTGTGGTGAGGTGGAAGTTGCCTTGAGCGGCATTGACGGCAGCCATTCGGCTGCTTTTCCTGCTGCTCCTGGGCGGCCCTGGGCTGGGCAGTGCCATGTCAGAGTTGGGCCATGGCGGATGACGGTTGGCTCGGTAAGGTCGCGGGATTTCCAGGTTCCTACGCGCCGTGGTGTAGCAGAGATTAGCCGGGGAGAATGAAGCCTGGGGCTCGAGTTGGGGCCTCACCCAGGGCTGGCTGGGGTTTAGCCTCTCCTCTATGGGTTTTAGCCCCTCCCCCTCTCCTTATGTATATAATTTTGTATAATTATCTATACTAATAAAGACAAAATGTCTGATGTGTGTCTGTCTGTCTGTATTTTTGTCCGCTAATAACACAATCGTTCTATGGTTCTTGGGACTCAACAGCATTTGAATCCACAGCATGATACTGAACCATCACCATAATCTTCACCAATGTCAACTCATGCAACAACAGTAACAGGGGAAATAATGGAGAAAACCAAAGTATACTTCTCTCTCACCAGTTGCAAATTAGATGCCTCACTGCATCCTGAAAAAGAGTGGCAGTATCAGTGACACCTCCACTGAACTATTCTTTATCACCAGATTGACTGCCAAGGATCAGATACTGATGTGACAGGTAATCACAAGAAGTGTTTGGGAATATTATTAAAATATGAATGTATCTTAAGTATATTTATAAGATTCTACTAATATTGTATATTGCTACGATAGCGCTCCAGGATGCTACTCAGCGTGAAGGGCACTATATAAATGCAAGTTGTTGTACTTTTGCTAGTGAAGTTCTCATTGGTGTCATTGATACGAGTTATATCTTATTAGGAATACAACACATATCAAGGTGAAGAAAATGTAATTCACTGAGGAACAATTGGAGGATCAGTGAGTCTTTATCACCTTTATTATAAGCTGTAATTTGTAAGATGCCATGCTAAACTCAGATAACCCAATTGGGATATTTCAAGTGTTCACAAATTAGCCTGAAATGAACATCTAAGTTCAATCAATGCAACTTCAGAACTCTTGACCAAATTTTTTATATTAATTCTACAACTATTTCTTTCTGCATCTTCCTACCCTGCATCACGACAAGAAGACTCTACAAAATGGCCTTGTTTCACTTCTCATTAAGAAAGCTTTGCTGGCCCCCCAAAAATTGATTTCTTTAGAAATGTTTAATTTCTTAAAGAAATCTTTGAAGGAATAAAGTACCATACAAAGAGTGAAAAACATTTACTTACTGTTACTGTTTACAACAACAACTTGCATTTATATAGTGCCCTTCACAAAGGATACTGCTTCAGAACACAACTTCACATCTAGCAGCTGAACAGCATAAGGCTGCTTGTAGCAGTGTATATATGATACCTAATCAGATTTCAGGTCAAAACGTACATGAATACTTGATTAATCCACTGGAGTTTGCAATAACTAATGTACTATGTTAATTGAATTCCATCTCTGGGTTGAAGAAACTGTAAGAACTAATCCTCCCCCACAATAAACTGGCACCTTCTGTCCACCAACCATATAGCACTGTTTGCGTCTATGGAGACATCCAGAGATTAGATTGGAATACAATTGTCTAGCTAAAGAAGAAAATATGAAAGTATGGTGATGCAGTAGGGAGGAACAGTGGAAAGCAAAGTCATTGGATTTGAAAAAGGTCTTAAAATGTAAAAAAAAGGATCAAATGGGCAGATGAAGAAACTTTATGTCAAAGTACCGTTTGCCCATCACCCAGTGTTTGCCCATCAGTATTCTTCAACTTACCCCAAGGTAATGACCATCAATGAAAACCACAGGCAACGAAGGGGATTCACTTGCTCTCTTGCAGCGCTCTTCCAGCTCCTTGCCATAGTCACTATCCAGAGCAATATTTTTCTCTTCAAACTTTACTCTGTGATTCTGGAAAATCTTCCTCACCAGTTCACAGCGGTCAAATGTGGTCCTTACGACACGGAGGCTGGTTGTGTAGATTATTATTCTTCCAAATTCTAGCTTTAGTGATGGCTGCAAAATATACAACAAATGGTCTCAAACTCAGTCTCACCATTTTCATACCAGGTTACTTTCCTAATTAATTGGTATTTACAAGTAACTGGCTCTAAAGAGCTTCAGTTTAATTTGTTTCTGGTCACCTGCATTGTAAAGCATAGTCAATGTATTTGAAAAATCCCTTGAATGCATAACGACCACCGGCAAGTAATGTATTCTCAGTTCAAAGGGTCACAAGATGAAGAAGGCCCATCGACCTATTTGATCTCATCCTTCTCATCCATCCCACCATCCTCCCATCACAGCATCAAGCTCTTTTTTAAATGAGTTCAATGCTCTGGTCATTCACATGGAATATAGAAACAAACAATTGTACGAAAGGCGCTATTTGGCTCATCATGTCTGTACCCCTGCCATCTGCCATCAGCATGTAATGGGAGGAGGTTCTTCTTTCCCTTAGAGTTAATAAGTTCCATATAAAGAATTACTTAGTCAGGAGCCCTGCTTTCCGAGTACATAAACACCAGTTAAATCAACACTGTCAAAAATACCCAGTTCAAAAGGTCACAAGATGAAGAAGGCCCATCGATCTATTTGATCTCAGAGAGACACACATACTCACAGACACAGAGAGAGACACACACACTCACATATATAGCGAGACACACACACTCACAGATAGAGAGAGACACATACACTCACAGATATAGAGAGACACACTCACAGACACAGAGAATGACACACACACACACACACTCAGAGACACAGGAACTATCCAAATCAATCTCACTCCCCCACTGTCCTCCATAGCCCTGCAAACTTGTCTTCCCCAAATAATTATCTACTCTCTTAAAAGTTGTTATTGAATCGGCTTCCACCACCCTTGCTGGCAATGCATTCCAGATCCGAACAACTCTGTGTGTGACAAGATTTCTCCTCACCTCCCCTCTGTTTCTTTTAACAACTAGTTTAAATCGGTGTTATCACGTTATCAACCCACCCGCCAGTGGAAATAGTTTCTACTTGTTCATCCTTATCAAATCCCCTCATAATTTTGAAAACTTCTATTAAGTCTCCTCTTAACCTTCTCTGCTCCAAGTATAATCCTAGCTTCCTCATTCCTCATTCCTCGTACCATCCTGACAAATCTCCTTTGCATCCTTTCCAATGCCTTGACATCCTTCCTAAGGTGTGATGCCCAGAACTGATTATTACAGTACTCTAGTTGAGATCTAACCAGTATTTTGGAAAGGCTCATCATAACTTCCTAACTTTTGCATTCTATGCCCCTATTTATAAAGCCTAGTATCCCATATGCATTTTTAACAGCTTTATCTACCTGTCCTGACACCTTCAACAATTTACTTACATGAAGCCCCAGGTCTCTCTGTTCCTTCACCCCCTTTAAGATTCTACCATCAGCTTATATTGCCTCTCCTCATTCTTCCTTCCAAAATACATCAATTCACATTTCTCCACATTAAACTTCATCTGCCACATGTCTGCCCATTTTACCAGTCTGTCTATGTCCTCTTGCTGTTTGCTATATTCTCCTCACTGTTTATTACTTTCCCAGCTCATCTGCAAACTTGATTGATCATCATTCACTTCATTACTGCTTGTGTGATGATGCGGTGTTCAAATGGATGCCACATTTGCCTATGAAAACAGTCACTAGACTTGAAGTAATTGCTTGTGAAGCAGTTTGAGACGTTTCTCATAAAAGGTCTCATAAAAGTTCAATTTTTACTTGCTTCTTCCTGTCTATCTAACTGGCAGGTAGGAACAGCTCAAGCTGTCTGGCTGTCATTTTGATTTAGCCTCGCTTAGCTGCATATTTGGAAACATTCAACTTTGCATCATGTGTGCAGGTAGGATTGCCTTTGTGTCATTTAAGTGCTGTCAATTATTATTTTGGAACAGCATCCCTGCATAGTGATAGACAGGGGAAGCCATCTGCTGCATACTCTGCTAGCTTGCCTTACAATTTAATGTTTGCATAAGTGCTTTTCTTTACTCTAGAAGCTTAATTTGGTTGTTCAACTTTTTTTATCATTTGCATAATTGTTTAAAATAAAAAAAGTTATTTACTGAAATAATATTCATTATGAAGCACTGATGTAAGGCAGTGCGGAAGCTCAGCTTGTCTAGCTGCCAATTTCATTATATTCATTGTGTATTCGGTGCTGTGAGACCTCATTTGCTGTAAGTACGTACGTTCTACATTATTTCATTAGGGAATGTCCAGAACGGTACTCCAATGCCATGGGCTGCCATTATTGGTAGCATTACTCAGTTTTTTGTCGAGTTAAGCAGGAAGCCAGTTATCCAGCATTTCAACAATACCCTTTGCATGCCAGAAAGTCTAATGGTAATCATGGGTAAGCTTCGAGACTAATCATTCTGAAGGATTAACAGAGTAGAGTGGAATTTTCTGCAATGGGATCATTTTCATCAGTTACAATTAACACATCACATATTGCAATTTTCAACCCAATATTTTAAAAACTTCCTGCATCAGAAACAGGGATATTTGATAAATGTTACAATGTCCTCACCGCTATAAATCCAAGCTGCTATAAATCCAAGCTGCTATAAATCCAAGCTGCATTTTCCTAAATAAATATTGGATCCTTTAACTGAGACAATCAGTGATGGGAGTCAAATTCTAGCTACAGATATGGCTCCTTCCAGAAACCAGGTTCACCACATTGCTTGTTGGAAACTTCACTTCAAAAATTGATTGAGTTAGAGAAATGCTCGCATGATGTACTTGAAGTTATCAGAGTATAACTTGGATATTTGTGGCTCAGAGACATTATTAACAGCTCCCCTTAGAAATTGTCGTTAAGGTATTCCCCAATTAAAATTCTTATATTTACGGCATTTTACCCACTAAATAAATTTCAATTTTTAAAACGTATTTAATAATTTGATCCATGGACCAGCAATTCTACCCAATTCTAGACTTAAGGCTATTTTCTTAACATTTCACAGCATGCAGATTTGGACAACTGTTTTTTTTAAAAAAAGTCTTAATTTGGGAGCTTGTTTTTCTGTCATCCTTGTATTTGATTTGATACAGTGTTTCATCACGTCGTCAAGAAACCTCAAAATTAAAAACTTCACTTAAACACTTATAGTTAAAGCTAGATTTGAGTTTAAAGGTGATCTGGAAATTCAATTAATAATAATAATCCCTTTAATATAGTGCCTTGTCATGTCATCAAAATGTCTCAAAGCGCTTCACAGGATTTTACTGTAAAGTGAACTGATTGTATATTTATGGTAAACGATTATTATTAATTATTATTAATAAGTCAAAAGGTTTGCTCCAACAAAAAATGGAGAAAAGAATCAATTTGACATTTAAATATAAATAAAGTAGTTTCAATATATAGGAGCATAAATGAAGGAAATTGGGGGATAGATGAGGAGAATTGGAGGTATGAGTGCTTGTGTACGAATACAGGTACTGACTAGTTGGGCCAAATGGCCAGTTTTCATGCTGGATCAATCTATGTAACTCTGCATAACTCTACTCCCTTACACCCAAGTTCACAGCCAACTGGTGATAGCATTATGGGAAACAAAACCAGATGAGGTCTTTAGCTGGGTGGCTGTCATGTTACGGAAATATGTAGATAACATTTTATGGCGTACCATTGAATGTGGAATAATTTATATAGCTCCCTTCACACAGGATAGCATGTCAGAGCGCTGCACAATGGCGGGGTTGGACATTGAGCGGGGGGAAGGGGGGAAGGTGACCATAGGTGCAAGCAAAGAGGTAAATCTTAAAAAAGGATTTAAAAATAAATAAAGAAGGGGAAAAGCAGAGGGAATGAAGCAAGGAGTTACAGAGGTTAGGGGTGTAGGCGCTGAAGGAATGGCCACTGATGATAGATAGCATAGAGGGGTTGGAGGTATGCTGAGTGAAGGAGACAGACAGTGAATTGGAGTACGAGCTGGCATTGCATTTTTAACCCATTGTGTAAAGTGCTTTTTGCTCTCCCTTCCTCTCTAGATTTTGTTCACATTGTGAAAACCTATTGTTGAGGATTCCAGCTAGAAATTAGGGAGGGAGAAACTCCCAGTGATAAGATGATTGTTTAAACATTTGTTTTAAAATGTTATAATGAAACTAATGAATATTCATGGTGTGTCACTCATTGAAGTGGTTACTTTCCCCTTGTCAATGCATTTAATGGCCTTTTGCTCCATGTAAGGGACATTTTCTGTTGCTTCATACTACATACAAACTGTCAAATGTTACCTAACTTACCGCTGGAGCAAATTAATCTCCTTACACCCCTGTGTTTTTATATTTTAAGTATAGGCATTAATGTAAATAAGAACAATTTTTTCACAGTCTTGCTATAGTACTCAATGGCTTTACAGTAAAATAGGTACTCTCTGGTTCAACCCCTTCCTGCATTACCAGTTTTATATATCTATCTTTATAGCACCAAGAGTCACCGAGTTAGAAATATAGACTCGATCTAGGACAGATTATTGAATGTATTATTTTTCCGGGCATTGAATGAGTCACTTCTGGAAATCGAGTGGAGTAGGAAATTAATCACATGTGACACGAGAAATAAATTATGCAAAAAGTGAGAACCACTAAATTTATTGAACCATATGTTTCCAACACATAACATAAATGAATTGTAGTTCATTCAGTATAGCATGGGCAAATCTCTGCGTAGATTTAACTAGGGTGTTGGGAGATTTTTATGACAGAATAACAGGATATCATGGAGATGAGGAGTTATGAAAGAGGCAGAAAAATATACTAAGTCTAGAATATGGAAAATAAATAGTGTTGCACATTTTACTGTTCGTGCTTTTGAGCAGGTTGGCCTAGTGCCAGTTTCTAGTGAGGGAGGTAAGATTTCTCAGGCAGAGGGATGTTCATTGCTCAGTGGCACTTAAGGAAATTAGAACAGAGGCAGGGGCAGCTCTGGCGTGAAATTACTAGCAGCTCCTTAAACATACGGACAGGAGAAGTTGATCAAAAAATAGCAAATGTTCCAATTTTTTAAAAGGTCAGCGAAGTATGATTCCAGGAATTCCAAGCCTGTTAGATTTAACTGTAATAAGAAAAACATTGGACTCTTGTATGCTGAGTACAGTTAATAAGAAAAACAGCAATAATTCCAAGCCAACACTGAAAGTCAAACATAATATAAAATGATTTCAATTATTTGAGGTTTGCACCAAATTAATGGTTGATATTAGTGTAAAGGATGTTATGTAGCTTGGTGTTCAGGAGACATTAAGTCAGAAGTGACTTATAACACACTTGCGTCTTAAAATGAAAGATTTTGGAGTAAAAGAGGAAGCAACAAATAAGTTAATTAATAGGAAGTACAGGGTAGTGATCAATGGTAGAAAATAGTTCTAAATGGATAACTGAGACTGGTGGGCGTACTCCATGGAACCGTGCGAGAACCTCTGCTGTTCACAATATTCAGAAGAATCCTGGCCAACAAACCCCCAGATAAAATTGGTCATTCATTTCATGGCTGTTTGTGGGACATTACGCTGAACAAATTAGCAGCTGATTTCATCTAAACAATACACAATCGCTATACTTCCCAGTAAATCCTGTGAAGCAGTTTGAGGCATCCTAATGATGTGAATGATGCTATTGTGGAGTCCTGCAGCTCAGTGGTTAGACCACCCAAGAGACCTGGGTTAGATTCACTACCCTTCCAGGTCCTGCTGATGAGCCAGGCTGGCTGTGCGGTCATCAGCAGTGCCCTGCTTGGCTCAAGAACAGGACCACCAAGACTGCTACAGAGGGCTGGCTCAATTCTGGCATCCCATTCCCAGGCATGTCACCTTGGAGCCAGTTCAGCTCCAAGGAAACCCCACTTATCTTATTACTGAATGGGAAAGCTTGAATGTCCAGGGAAAATCGCATTTAAAATCTTACATAACTCTGTAAGGTCCCCTTTAAGAAGTCTCTGACTGAAGACCCCTAGCTTGTCTAATTGTTGCTTATAGCTCATTTCTCCATCACTAAGGTCATACATGTTGCTCTTCTTTACATTGTTTATAACGGAGAAATTGTAATATATGCATATGATAGTTAGTTGAACTTTACCTACCAGCAAAACGTTACCCAATGTGTGTGTCTACCAATGTATCCAGGAGGTATTACTATACTTGTAGAGGGATTCAAACATGGACAACTAAGATTCAAAGTTTTAGATTCCTAGTGAGTATGAAGACAGGCTAAAAAATAACTCAAAGAAAAGATTAGGGTAGAACATGTTTTAAAAATAATGCAAAATCAGTACATTGGGTTCAGAGAGAATCAGGAGACAAGCTAATAAGCGACAAACTGACCTAAACAGAGGAATAAAACATAACCTCTGTGGTAATAACTTATTTAATAGATTGACATCAAATGCTATATATACTGCAACAATAAAATTGATCATTCACTACATTACTGTTTTGTGGGATGTTGCTGGCCATAAATTGGCTGCCACGTTCATCTACAAAGTAAACAGTCACTTCACGTCATAGTAAATCCTGCAAAGCCCTTTGAGACATCTGCCTGAAGGGAAATGCTCTTTATCAAATGCAAGAATTATGTAGGACTATTATTTTTAATTGTTAAATATTCTGAACAATTGGTTCAACTGGGAGTGGAGGGCTATGGGTCACTGGAAGGAAACAGCAAACAGAAATTAAAACCTTATCAGGTCAGTTTCGAAAGCTGGGTCTGGATGAATAACAATGATCTGCTGCATGGGCTGAAAGACCTTTGCTGAATGTTGTTATGAATTACACGATCTCATTGATTGTTCCAAGCTGGTAAGCTAAATTGTTTGGTTTGTTACACTGATGACACCATGACACTGGGACAGAAATGTAATGTCCTGGCTAATTAGAAATCCCGCTTTGCATTTACGTACAAAGCAAAATAAATGTGGCATGATAATCCCACTGCAAACCCGTCAAATCAAAAGCAATTCCTATTGTTTAGACTCCACTGAGAGCCATCCATCAGCAGTTGAATAGTATTGTGTCAGCTCAAGTGTAACGGTTGGAGACAGTTCAAAGCTCTGTAATACAATGAGCTTCAGGAAATAATATCACAACATGCAGTGAATCAGAATCATAGAATTTTACAGCACAGAAGGATGCCATTTGGCCCATCGTGTCTGTACCAGCTCTTTGAAAAGAGCTATCCAAATCAATCCCACTCCCCTGCTCTCTCCCCATAGCCCTGCAAACTTGTCCTGCTAAGTAATTATCTATTTCACTCTTAAAAGTTGTTATCGAATCGGCTTCCACCACCCTTTCAAGCAACGCACTCCAGATCCAAACAACTCAGTGTGTGAAAAAATTTCTCCTCATCTCCCCTCTGTTTCTTTTAACAACTAGTTTAAATCGGTGTCCTTGGGTTACCGACCCACCCGCCAGTGGAAATAGTTTCTCCTTGTTCACCCCTAATAAATCCCTTCATAATTTTGAAAACTATTAAGTCTCCTCTTAACCTTCTCTGCTCCAAGGAGAATAATCCCAGCTTCTCTAACCTCTCCTCATAACTGAGGCCCCTCATTCCTGGTACCATCCTGGCAAATCTTCTTTGCACCCTCTCTACTGCCTTGACATCCTTCCTAAAGTGTGGTGCCCAGAACTGAACACAGTCTCGAGCTGAGGCCTAACCAGTGTTTTATAAAGGTTCATCATAACTTCCTGACTTTTGTATTCTATGCCCCTATTTATAAAGCCTAGTAGCCTGTATGCTTTTTTAACAGCTTTATCTACCTGTTCTGCCACTTTCAAAGATCTACTTATATGAACCCCCAGGTCTCTCTGTTCCTTCATCCTCTTTAAGATGGTTTGTTCCTACCATCTTTAGTTCAATACGTTGGGTTGGCAATCTACATTCCAATAGGCAGTCAGGGATAATATGCGTACAGGCACACATACACACTGGGTTCAGATACTGTTGTGCAGTGAGTTTCAGAAAAACCTCAGTTATTTTCATTGTGTGCAGTCACAGTTGATGCATCACACTGACAAATTATGAATGGCCAAAAAATGATTTATTTAAAATGAGGAAATGTACAGTGATCTAACTTGCAATATTTCTCACCAGGTTTCCTTAATAAGAAATCCTTATCTCCACTCTGAAAGTAGACCGCATCAGAGAAAATGTCCCGGATGCCGTAAATCTGCTTTCTTGAAAAAACACCCATTTGTGCGAGACTGATTCCTTATTAAGTAAGCCCATTAAGAAATATCGCAAATTAGACATCCGAGTTTCTTATTTAAATTGATTTAAATGCTTGAAGTTGGTATTTGTCACAATCAGGGATTATAATATTGTTATTATAATATTGCAACTGGACAGAAGCTATACATTTTAATGAGGCCTTTAAAACCTCACTGAAATAAAATTAAAACAGATTTTAAAAGTGAAAAGTAAGACGTTGCTTTTAACAAAGGGACATAAACTCCAATTTATTTAGAACCTATTTATCCTCCAATGTATCATTTGCCAATGACGTACGTATCCATTTCCCAAATCTCTCAGCTGTATTTCCTATGTTCTAGCACCAGATGGCTGTTGATACAGTATTTGCAGACTGGGTGGAACAGAAAACAGAAAAGGAGCCAGCAGTAATCCTAATCCATTGCATCGCTCGCTTGATAAAGTGGTACAGTATTTTATATTACTGGACTCTGGACTTCAAGGAGAGACAACCAGAAAGCTTGGGGGCCAATCAATTTATTTAGATCAGCAACTCCAGTTCAGAATAACAACATTTCCACTTAAGTATATTTCATTTCAGTTTAATTTGTGGACTGTACTCAGGAGCTGGTTTCACCTCCTCTTTCCTTACGGTTTTCAGATCTTGTTACAAATCTTAAACCTATGGGAACGTTGAGAAGTATTGATTCTGCAAATTTAAAGAAAAGTCACAAGTTGACGCCAGTGTTAGTTATCACGACAACGAGCAATAACTTTACTTCTCACAAGTTTGAGATTCTTAACGACATACCTGAGCAGCACTGTTTGACAAGTTACTGAAAAGAGCCTGACCGGCACTGACTTTGTGTTTGACACCTCTGACTGTACCATTTTTACTCAAGATATTAATTCTCTTTGCACTGAAGCCTCTGTCCTTTGTGGTGCTCACTAATAAGAGCATGTCGTCACACTCGCTTTCACTTTCATCGGTTTCTAACCCAAAGTGCTGCTCGTTATGGCCGTTGACTTCGCTATGTCCACTGTACGGCTCAGTCCCTGAATTGCTGGCACATTCCAAGTCCTGCGGCTCCCTGGGATCTTCATCAGTGTACACCTCCTTCAGGATCCTGCCACTCTTCGCAGAAGATATCCGAAACCTGACTTTCTTTTGCGGCCTCTCTCCCTCCGGCTTCATTGTGCTCTTGAGCCTAACTTCATCCATCAAAGAGTACAGTTCACATTGTCTTTGTCAGCAGAAAATCTTTTACAAACACTTGCAAACTTATAAGTCCATAGCCATATATCGTGGAGAGACGTTTTAAACATCTAGCACTAGCCGTTACCATTCAGACATAAGACAATAAAGTCACTGCCAGCCGTCCACCTCAATAATGCATAAGGCTGCATCATGGTTGACTTTATACCAGCATCAGGTAAAGTGATACAAATCATTAAATATTAAAAGTGTCTTTGTGTGTCCTTTTTTTTCTAACATTGAAAGTACTGAAAAACAACAACAACAACAAGATTCCATTTATAAAGCGCCTTTCACGTCAGGAGGACGTCCCAAGGCGCTGCACAGTTGGGTCAGGACCCGAGCAGGGGGAAATGGTCAGGGTGAGGGGAGGGAAGGGAGGGAGCGAGGAGGGGGGAAATGGTCAGGGTGAGGGGAGGGAAGGGAGGGAGCGAGGAGGGGGGAAATGGTCAGGGTGAGGGGAGGGAAGGGAGGGAGCGAGGAGGGGGGAAATGGTCAGGGTGAGGGAAGGGAGGGAACGAGGAGTGGGAAGAGAGTCGAGAGGGGAGCTGAAGGCTCGGTCAAAGAGAAAGGTTTTGAGACCGGCCTTGAAGGAGGAGAGGGAGGAGGCGGCGAAGGCACTGGGGGATAGAGTTCCAGAGCCTGGGGGCTGAGAGGCTGAAGGCCCGACCACCGATGGTAGGGCGATTGGGGCGGGGGGTGTGGAGCAGTCCGGAGCCAGAGGAACGGAGGGTACGGGCAGGTAGGTAGGGGGATAGTAGGTCAGAGAGGTAGGAGGGAGCAAGGCCGTGAATGGCCTTATAGGTGAGGATGAGGATCTTGAAATCAATCCTCTGGGGGATGGGGAGCCAGTGGAGGCGAGCGAGGGTGGGAGTGATGTGGTCGCGAAGCCTGGTGCGGGACAGTACACGAGCTGCAGAGTTCTGAATGACCTGCAGCTTGTGGAGGGAGGTGGCGGGAAGGCCGGCGAGGAGAGAGTTCCCATAGTCCAGCCTTGAGGTGACAAAGGCGTGGACCAGGGTTTCAGCAGCGTGAGGGGTGAGGTAGTGCCGTAGTCTGGCGATGTTCCGGAGGTGATGGAAGGCGGTGCCAGTTGTGGTGCGGATGTGAGGGAGAAAGGACAGCTCAGGGTCGAACAAAACGCCGAGGTTCCTGACTGGCTTTGAGAGGTGGAGAGTGCAGCCTTGGATGCTGATGGTGTCGGCGCCTGAGGTGCGGAGGCGCTGACGTGAGCCAATCAGGAGGGCCTCGGTTTTTCGCACGTTGAGCTGAAGAAAGTTGTCTCTCGTCCAGGACTCGATGTCGGACAGGCAGCTGTCAGGACATCGGTGGTCGTGGAGTTGAGAGTAGAGGAGGAAAGGTAGAGTTGGGTGTCATCCGCATACATGTGGAAGTTAACTCCATGTCTGCGGATGATGTCACCAAGGGGGAGCATATAGAGGGTGAAGAGGAGGGGACCGAGGACAGAGCCCTGAGGGACACCACATGAGACAGTGCGGGGGGTGGAGGAGAAGCCATTTGTCGAGACAAAGTGAAGACGGTGAGAAAGGTACGACCTAAACCACTCAAGGACAGTGCCTTGAAGGTTGAGGTGGGAGGACAAGCGGTGGAGTAGGATAGCGTGGTCGACCGTATCGAATGCTGCCGATAGGTCGAGGAGGACGAGGAGGCAGAGGGAGCCCTGGTCACAGATGGTCAGGATATCATTGGTGACCTTGACCAGGGCAGTTTCTGTGCTATGGGCAGCACGGAAACCTGACTGAAGGGGTTCAAAAAGTGAATGGGTGGAAAGGAAAGAGCGCAGTTGGGAGGCGACAACTCTTTCCAGGACCTTGGAGAGAAAGGGGAGGTTGGAGATGGGCCGGTAGCTTGATAGCTGCGACGCATCAAGGGAGGGTTTTTTCAGGGTGGGCGTGATGGTGGCAGTTTTTAAGGGAATGGGGACAGAGCCAGAGGAGAGGGACAGGTTGACGATGTCGGTGATATGTGGGGCAAGAAAGTGGAGCTGGGAGATAAGGAGTGGAGTGGGGATGGGGTCAAGGGAGCAGGTGGTTGGTTTCAGGGATAGGATGAGTTTGGTGACAGAGGGTGGGGAAACGGGTACAAAAGTGTGTAGGGGAGGATGGGTAGCAGTCGGAGTGTGGGAGTGAGGGGGCGGGGGGTTGGTGGATGTTGGAGGGGAAGTGACCGCGGAGCGAATTCCCTTGATCTTGGATTCAAGGAAATCCAGCATCTCCTCGCAGTGAAGGTTGGAGGAGATGACCTGCGCGGGGTGGCGGGGGGGACGGAGGAGTCGGGTTGTGGTGGAAAACAGTAGCCTGGGGTTGTTCTTCGCCTCCAGGATTATCCTGGAGTAGAAGGACGACTTGGCCGAGGCTAGAGTGGAGCGGTAAAACTACAGTCAAACTAGATCTTTCTTTGCTGCAGATACAGTTCATATTGAACCTCTCATCGAAAACCCAAGAAGGCTACCTTTATTCAAGAAGCTCATTTTGATGATGGGGCAAACAACCATCATTTGATCTGACCACATGAATACACAAGGCAAATAAACAATATAATCTAGAGAGTAATAGGGGTGAAAAATATGGCATTTCGTAATAGTCAATGTGAAAATCAAAGCTGTTGTAAAACTTCATATTTTTCATGTTGTAAATATATTTTTTAAAAAACAGGAAGTGGTCTATTCTCCGACTGACAACATCAAGCCATTTTAATCAGATCAAGTGATCTACTTATCAACCAGCCATCAGCATCACACCTTCAACTACTTGATGTTGTATGTCCACTTGATGATGGTGATGAGTTTGTTAAGGCATTTCACTAGATGTTGCTAAATTAATGATATGTATCATGAGATCTTGCTAGGCAAGATCTTACTAGGCTTTAGCCTAGCTCAGTTGGTATCACTTTTGCATTTGATTCAGAAGGTTGTAGGTTCACTCCCACATGAAAACATGAGCTCATAGTCTAAGCTGACACTCCAGTGGAATTCTAACAGAGCACTGTATTGTCAGAGGTACCATCCTCGGGTATTATGTTAAATCAAGGCCTCATCTGCTTGTTCAGCTGGACTTTAAATTTCCCATGACACTTTGAAAAAAGAGATAGGAGTCTTTCCTGGTGTTTTGGCCAACAATCATCCAGATAAAATCGATAATTTCTTTCATTATTATTTGTGGAACACTGCTGTGTGCAAAATTGACTGCTGCGTTTGTCAACAAATACACAGGCACTATGTTTTACAGTATACCCTGTCAAGCACTTTGAGCCATTTAGACAACATGACAAGGCACTCTATCAATCACAAGGATTATTTTTATTCTCTGGCTGGTGCTAATGAATGTACCAAGCATGACAACAGGGTTGAAAAAGTGCTCCTTACAAAAGCAATAGCATTACTATCTCCCACTCACTAAAAAAAGTCAAGTAATGTGAACTGCTCCTCATTGCAGAGAAGCTCCTATATATCACAATGATAGTCTGATTCACCTGCTTATTCCCCATAGCTCATACACTAAAAGCATACTTCTCCCAGGCTCTGTTCATCACAGAGAAGAGAATGATACAGTGTTAAGCAATCATTTTTGAAAGAGAGAACATTGTGTATAGTACAGTATTGCAGACTGATAAAAAGGTCTTCTTATAAGTGTAGAAAGATCAGAGATACTGCAAGTTTATGACTTCATACCATGTTGAATTAGAATGAATAGTACTGGAATTAGTATATTTTGTCTCTGACCATAACCATAGTTGGAATCCAGCTCAAATCAAATAGCATCACACAATCAAAGAATGCCACAGCATAGAAATAGTTTTTTTGGCCCATCAAGGCTATACTGATGGTTTTCTACCCATGAGCCAACATCTCAATCTAATTTCACTTCCCACATCCTTTAATATTCCTCTGTTTAAACATCTCATTCCCTTTTAAAAGGACACCAGACTCTGTCCTAAATAAGGTTTGTGCAGATTTTAACTATCCTTCATTGAACTATTTTTTCCCTAACCTCCCATTTCATAGGATATTTTATTTGGTAAGCCAGGTCTCTGACTCGTGCGGAAACCCATCTCATACAATAAGAATATTCAAACTAGATTGAGAGCGTACTTATGCAATCACATATGCGTGCAACCTATACAAGGGAATTTCTCTGGGTCTGAAATGGAATGTGGACTCGTCCTTTGGCTTTGTCTTGCAGGGTTAAGAGGAGTTTAAGAATACCTGTTCCTAGTCCTGCTGACAAACCTGGCTACCTAATCTGTCATCAGCAGGACCTTGGAGTACTGCAGACCCACCTGGCTCAGGAAGTGGATAACCCAGACTACAATATAAGTTTGACTTAATTCCAATATACAGTTATAACCATAGCTCCAAGGAAACCTTCTCACCTCTCCTCAATGTGGATAGACCTTAAACAGGAAAAAAGTACAGGTTTTCATCAGTGTCACAGTGATTCAACAATATTTGCAATAAATTCTGCACCAGTAACAGTACCTAACATTAAGCTCTCCTGCAGAGATGGTAATCATTTAAATAATTTCCTCTAATTTAACAACTATATTTGCTGCTCAGAACAAATCACCATCTTCAAGATTCATTTGGTCCCTACATATTATGTAGATTTATTCCTGCTCTCACTTATTAAATCATTGCCTAGCTTGACTGGCCGTAGGATTGTAGCATTAATAAAACAATACTTGCTTTCATGTCAGGAGGACATCTCTAAGCGCTTCACAGGATATACTGTAAAGTGTAATGTCTGTATTTTTGTTGACAAATGTCTCTGTAACAATTTATTTTACAGATGTATTCTCATCATTCCAATGGCAGAGTTACCCTTAACTATGCAGGGGTAAGAATTTCAAAAAATCCTTTACCTTACTTTAATATTTTTGCAGTTCCTAATCATCATTTCCCCCTGTTCTCTTGGTTAAGC